ACATCTGAAAACACCTACGTCCATGCATGCAGCCAAGCACGGTGTTACGGGCGTCTGCCCGTGTCGTATGAATCGCCTTGTTGATATCAACCATACACGAGCTCCAAGATAAATTGCTAATCATTTAATTAGCGTGTGCCCGAATGACGTGGCTCGAGTTTCCAATACACGTCGGCAACAATGCGTCGGCGAAGTAACCTCGCGCGCCCGGGCGAACCCGAGCCTATAGTTGCCCCCGCATATCCTCCTTTTTCCTCTGGCGCTCGCATAACGAAATTACGAAACTCGCTGTAGCCGCAGATATGATGTACACAACACCTCTGCCTAGTAACCGCGCATGCGTGCGTGAGTGCGGGCGTGAGTGCGCGCATGCGTACGTGCGTGTAACTTCTTATAATATGGTGGTTTTAGGGCGATTGTCAGGTAATTATGATTCTAAAGTGCGTCTCATCGCCGTCAATTATCAAACAATTATTGCTAATACGAGAAATGCACGACTTGTAGGCCTACATTTCTCCTAGTAATTACATAAATATACATAAATACATCGACGTACATTCACAAGGGTTTATTTACATATATAAATAATAATCTTTGTACACGGCAATATAGCAAACGATGAGCAAATAGGAATATATATAAGATAAAATATAAATATTTGCATCAGATCCCGATTTGATAAAATACACTCGTTATCAGCGATTCTGCACGCGCGTGCTACGCACACACCTTGCATCTCACCTAACGGGTAATCGCCGTTACGCCACGCACACCCTTTCTCTGTCGCTGCAGCGTTAAAGGGAAGACCGACTAGCCAACGCCCACACTCAATTATATACCTTTAGGCGTATATACCTCGTAATATCAGGAGTGAATAATAGAGACACTATAGAGATCTCTATTATTCACTCCTGGTAATATCTGTCTCCCGGTAGCCTCACCGTGCGAAGCAAGCATTAAGCACGCTCATGGCTCATGCACGCAGCCGCCATATGCAATAATTACCATTTATTTATTAGCATCTTGGCTATCACCGTTCGGGGATAAAGTGATATAATTATATGCCCACGGCATTTCAAATAGCAAGCATAGAAGCTGTCGTGCCACAACGCGTTCGATCCAGTAGAATCGCACGTTTCCGATATCACCCAGCGATACGTGTATTGAAGCGATACATACATCTGGCAGCCAACGGAAAGTTTCGGGCAGGATTAAACCTTATATTTTAACAGCATGCAACCTCGCAACATGGCCTTAAAATATCAGAGCCATTAAAATAATGTAAGAAGCACTGCGAATTGTGATATGATAACAGCCTTATCGTAACAGCAGCAAACATCAAGAGTATTCCCGGTTCAAAGATCTACATTTTCTTCAAAGTCTCGTTTTCCGAACCCGCATTCTTTGTTGTCGCTGAACTTTCTCTTTTATCTGCCTGCTTTTCCTTTTTTTTCACCTTGCCTTCTCGTTCTCTTTCTCTCTCTCTCTCTCTCTCTCTCTCTCCTTCTCTCTTGCACTCTCTCTTCTGTGTCTCTATCTCCGTCATCCTCTCCCCCTCTTTCATTCTGTCTCAGTCTCACTACCCTTTTCAGGTATCCCATGTCTATGCAACCATTCTTTTCTCAGTGTCATCGTATCCTGCTGACCCGTTCTCTGTGCCAGCAAATGTGTATGTCTACATCTTTCCCAACGATAAGCGTGGAGATTCAGTTCTCCAGCCCGTGAAGATCCCCAGCGTTCTGAAACACGGTATCACGTGATTACCAGGCGCGGAGTCGTTACATGGCCACCTACTGCCGAAATGTCACAGAAGGTCATTCATAACACTTCACTTCGCGTGTATTTTCATAATGAAATTTAATTATCACGCGAATATGGTTATGGGTGCTAATGGGCTTCCTGGGCATTAATCAGGGCTGGCATATACATGTTACGGATTACATTTTTTTTAATTGGTAATTAGTAAAATGTCGAATAATCATGTGGAAGACGTCGCCAAGCTTCTAAAGCAGACTTTTAGGTAAAACACCATGTCACTAAAAACTCCTGATACGCATGTTACCATTTCAATTGAGTTAACACCAATTTATCTGAACGTACAAACTTACAATATAATATAGCATGGCACGGATGTTGATGCAATTTTATTATTAGGGTTTTTATAGAATTTCCATTTATTGGCTATTATTGACATAAGTAATATATGATATACACTACATATAGCCAAATGAAAATTCTTTATGCTGTGCACTACCACAGGCAGGAAAATTGGCCTCCAACACAGTAAGTCTGCCATAAGGTCACCTGCTCTTTCTTATGTAACCCTTATTGTATTATTCTACTATTTTATCATAAATCCCATAATTAGACTTGGGTCCAACTACTATGTCGACCTTCACACAATATTAAACACACAACGGAACAGAACACAACAGAATTACAATAGAAACACTAGAAAGGGTAAAAAATTGCAATGTTCACTAAAGAAATTCCTGTCGTGTAAGATATCATATCTTATTATATATATATATATATATATATATATATATATATATATATAGCTAATTCACATATATATTTATACAAATATATATGTACCTCCTCAGAAGTTATCTCATCAATGAGACGCAACTCTGTTTTGTCATCCGTTGGGCGCCTTAGCCGTGGGCTAACCCGCCTGGTCCGCTCCTGTACACTGGTCAGGTACTTTGTTGCACAGTCTTTACCCATCTCGGTAGCAGACTGCAGACAGAGTAAGAAAAACATCTGTGTCGGTTTATCAATAAGCAGCAAGCTAGCATGCACATTTCATTTTTAGCATTTCTCTTACTTTAAGATAATGTGCAGAAGATTTTTACCAGTTATTTAGTTCAGTGGCCAGTTTCAACATGAAGTAATGTTTAGAGAGTTCATAGTTTTAGTCTCCTTGGCTATAGAGGCTTTCAACCTATTGTTCTTCTATAACGAGTGGGTGCAATTTTAGCATCTAGCAGCAGTGCAAGGCATTTACGCATCCTGGCGCCATCTATTGCTGGAATAGAATATAAACGTAGACGTAGTGATGCAATAATATCGATCGCATTCACACACCTGAATGTCTTGAAGCAGGTTTCCGTTCGTATCGGATTCTGATGCTTGCTGTCCATTCCGCGCTTTATCAACCCTTATTCCTGCTGTATCAGACGTTGGCCTATCGCTATACTCCTCTCTTACAACTCCCACTGACCTTTGCTCCAGTAAAGGGTCATCTATGTTGGCTGACGTCTCCTGTTATGCACAATTAAGCAGCTTATGTAAATAATTCAGACACAATTAAATTACGGGGGTGACTGCTAATAGCTAGGTTAATTAGAAAACTATGATATTGCATGAAGCTGTAATACGATTATGACAAAATGATTATAAACGTGGCTGTTAAGCAGATTAATAAGGAGGAAATTATATAAATACATCTGATGGTGAATAATATCTCAGCCTTCTCAAATACAGCTTCACACAAAACATTATTATTGCTATAGGGCTATGCAATCATTATATATATATATATATATATATAAATATATACCATATATAGTTGTTATATACTCTAGTCCAATTATGATTGGTTGCTGAGTAACAAGATAGCACATATCCTGTCACTCTCCAATCTTGAAATCTGGTCTCTCGCTATATAATTATATCCACCTGCTAGAAATAAACCTATCCTGTTTCGTTTCAGTGTATTAAGACCAATTGGTTCCTTAAATATTATTTATGTAAGTTATATACATAAGTTAAAATCTTCTCAATGGGGCCATGACCTAAAGATATCTCAAAAGTGACATTTAATCCATAACCTTCAAGTTCCTATTATTATACCAGGGCGTCAAGTGACAAGTGACGCTCAAAAAATAGGAAAATAGGAATTTCAGATGTGAAAAAATAGGAGGAAAATAAGAATTTTGGTGAGAAAATACATGTTAAATAGGAATATTTGTGCGTAGATGGCCTCCCAACACCCCTACAGCCATCCCAATCCACCACAAATGGTTTTATTAATATACATATTTGGAGTTACATCACATGCGAACAATATTTTGAGGTTTTAATGAGAAATGCATGTTAAAATTGATAAGCAGTTTATACGTGCATAAGCACCCATACATGTAGACTACTCCAAAATAGTATGACGTACATGTATACATGGGCGGATCCGGCTTTTTGAAAAAGGGGGGTCCAGTTAGAAATATTAAAACGGCACTTTTATAAAAAGGTGCCGAAGGCAGCTTATGCGACGTGTCTAAGGCACGTTAATTGCCACTTAGGGGGGGGGGACCTCCCCCAAATAGGAATTTGTCCAGAAAATATGAGAAAATAGGAATTGCCCAGAAAATAGGAAAAATTGGAAAAAAATAGGAACTAGATGCCCTGTTATACCCTACAACCTGCTACTACTTGCACACCAATTGTGTGGGTGTGTTAAACCTATGCTATTTCCCGTATCAGATAACTGAGTGTTGGCCTTTGGTATACTGTCATCCTCATGGTGATATTTTATATTATTATACCATTACTTTTAAGTAGACAGCACAAGACTTAAAAACACACTGACTGTGTATTAATTACTAAGCTTATGTGGGTAGTACAGGTCAACTGACAAGTCATCTTATGGATAGAATCTGAATTAAATGTAAATGTAATGCAAGCTTACATGACGGGAAAATTGTAAATCATCGTCATCTGACGAATGGTCGTCTCCCATCTCTGTAAAATCATTCGACTTTCTTTTAGTCTTCTTTGCCTGGGAAATAAGAGCATATAGTTAGGCTGAGAGGGTCTATGTCCCCCAGGGTACTGCCGGAACGTACCCTGGGTACGGTCCGCTATACCGGAACGTACCCTGGTACTATCTAATATGCCGGACCGTACCTCGCCTACTCCACTAACGAGTTTAGGGAGTAGCCTACGCCTACTCCCTAACCCTAACCATATCAGATAGTTACTCAGGGTACTTCCGGTATACCGCGACCGATACCCAGCGGTACGTTCCGGGCCACGTACCCTGGGGGACATATAGACGCCTATGAGTATAGTTAGGTGTTGCTATGAGCACTATGATAGTATCATATTATATATTTAGCGCTGTTCTACCTGTTTTATATATATAATATGTGCGGTAGATTACCCGATGCACATATCTATCACAGTACCCCGGATATCACCCTCATACGAATGAACACATTAGAACTGACAGTTTTATGATTTATAACCTGTCCCTCATACATGCAGAAGCTCTTGCTCGATTCCTCCGCTCGTGCAGTTCGTCACTCCACCTATATTTTAGCCTATGCTAACTCTCGTCGTCTCTCTTCTCTCTCCTTCCTCTCTCTCTCCTCTCTCTCTCTCTCCTCTTCTCTCGATCCTCTTCTCTCTCTCTGTTCTCTCTCTCTCGTCTTCTCTCTCTCTCTCTTCCTCTCTCCACTCTCCTCTCTCTCTCTCTCTGCTCTCTCTCTTTCACTCTCTCTCTCTCTCTCTCTCTCTCTCTCTCTCTCTCTCTCTCTCTCTCTCTCTCTCTTTGTTTATTTATTGTTGTATTCCATATCTCTCCACCTGTCTCCTACCTCTTTTTCTTGCAGAGTCCTAGTATGTGGAGTTCTACTACACTCACTAATTATTCAAGGCTAACCATCGTGACCACTATTTATGGAGCAGCAAGCAAATGATGAAAACAAACAATTATGTAGGGTAATTCACATAGAAATGGGTGTCCTAACACCTAGAACATTTTTTTGGTACAACAAAAGAACAAACCATTTTCTTTCTTGCTGTCGTCCCAGCAGATTGAATTCGCGACCACCATGGCAGCTTGGCATTAGTGTCATTCGGCGGCTGTACCTTTCCTTCTGTACTTGGCTTCTTTTCTCTCTGCTGGTCTAGATGATCATCTTGACAGCACACCTTCAGATCAATACAGATGCTCTATACATTGTGCAAGTATTACTTATAGGCCTAGTATTCTGTAATTGTTGAATTTTCTCTTCTCCGCAATGGTCCCTTGTACTTCAAGCTATATTACTCTGGATGTTGACCTTCCCTTTCTCACTATTATCTCCACAGCATATTCTTCTTTTTTAATTTTTTCGTCTTTTTCTAACCCTCTCCCCATCGCTAGTACTAGAAGTTTTCCATGTTCCCTCATTACATCTACCCTGAACTGTTGTGCATATGGTAATTGGCGCTGCAAGTCATTTTCTTAATCAGTACGTGCTGCACTAATAACATGTCATATGCCTAATTACCTTTTGCTCAGCATCTACATTTCGCTGGGACTGTGTCTTATTCTCCTTCTTGTCACTGACCCGGATTTTATCTTTTCCCATGAGCCGGTCAAATTTCTGACGTAGATGGGAAGGTGAGCTGCGGAGGAGAAACACACCTTTAGTAAATGATCATAGCAATAGTAACTTTGTAAGTTATAATCATTAACAATTAATGAGTCTTAAGTAAATCTTAATATTTTAATATCTTAATTAATATTTAATAAGTCTTAAGACCACCCAAATCAGCATCCTCTACATCATCCTATCATCATCATCATCATCATCATCATCATCATCATCATCATCAGGATCGACGTATATAGGCACCAACAGCATCAATATCATCAGCATCAAAATCATCACTAGCATTAACGTCATCAGCATCAAAATCATCACTAACGTAAATCAAATAAAAATCATCACGATTATATAACCATTTCGATCATGACTTTAATATCATTACGTGCATCGCTAATTACAGTAATTACGAGCTTCATCATCATCACCGGAACCATTAATTGTTATGATCCCCACCACAGACACTGAGACAGTAGACATTAACTAAAAAAAAACGAATTAATTCGTTTAATTATCCTGTAATTTATTTTACAGCGACGTACGTCATCGCTACCATGCAGCAGCACTATAATTCCTATACAGTGATACGCGCTTGTAAATGCTTTCTTCCTACATAAGAGTGAGTCACCCACGTACATGGGGTGGGGTGGCTGACGACGATGGCGATACAACTGCTGGTGTACGTTTACAGAAATAGGCGAAGCGTGAAGTAACAGAAGTCGCGCTTGCCGACGAAAGTCAATGAGCTCCAGCCACCTTTCTCACATCGTCGCACCTTCGCGTGCGTGCGTGCGTGCGTGCGTGCGTGTGCGTGCGCGCGCGCGTGTAACTGACCTTTCGTGCTCGTCGTCGGAGGAATGCAGCACCAGAGCGGCGTCCACCGAATCCTGTTTATCCAGCAGCAGTTTGTTGTACGCCATCTCTCCCTTCCCTCGCCTGCCGCAGCGCGATGGCGGCGTTGGTGTCGCTGTGTTCGTGCGTGCGTTCGTTCACACGCGGGTCAGCAGCAACAGCAGCAGCAGTCGTACGCGAAACTCGGTGTCATCAACCATCTGGCGTTCTGTTGGTGGCGATAAACAATAAATAATAGTCCCCTCGCGTACGTATACGTCGTATACATAGTGCACACACATACGATATAGCTGCTTGCTAGAGATACTAGTGCTCGCAGCAGAGGGCAGCAGCTGGTTACGACACGTACATATACGTATATATAATACGTGGTGCCACATCGCGGTGTGGGTACCCCTGCCAAACCACGTGGCTGCGTGGCTATAATCGATATCAGCGGATCCCTCGTGCATCGTCGCGCGCGCTTACGTCGCCTGATCGAGCTAAACGCCCGCTTGCACGCTTGCCTGACTGCGTGCCGACTGCCGCCGACTCATAGTCGCGTGAAAGAGTATGCTGTTTATGCGTATATATATATATATATCGTATATATATCGTAGGCCTACTCTGTTTTTTACCAAATATTTGGCATTTCACGAGAGCGCGTATTATATATATACAAGTTGTCGATATTGATCATGAGAGACAACTGAAAGACTGAGACATCGAGCGTGCACGACTAAACATATAACCCCTACCACACCCCCATCCCGCCCTCAACGCCCTCGCTTTTCCAACATTTGACATTGACGTGAACGTTACGTGAATGCGCGGAGGCGTACGTTACTTGTTCAATATTGATCAGGAGTAAATAATTGGGAGGGATGATAGGGTAGGTATTATCTACTCCTGATATTGATCAAGCGCAGCGCACGCGCATATATACGTTCGTGGCTATACAGGAATTACAGCTGCAATTCATCCAAACGTGCATCAGTCAAATTCACGTAGGGTGCATGGGCGGATCCATGAATGGGGATCAACAAGGGATCCGGGCTCGCGTGGCAAGTCTCTATGTAGTTCTGCTATAGTAAGGTTTATAGTCGGAGCAGCAGGTGGAAATTAATCTATACTTTTGTATACTATAGGAAGCCACGGCCGCGCATTTGTCTGCGGGTACGCAGAGGGTAGTATTCTACTATAGATTCTTACGTGCGTCTTTAATACCATATGCCTAGCTATTGCTCATTGAAAAAAGAAATGATTAATACTGAGATGACAATACTGTCAGTATACGTCCCAGTGGGGGCCGCGGTTGTCAGAAACAAAATTAGTATCAACATTGACTTTTTCTCAGAGACCGAACCTAGCTCTACACACACTGCGTATGAGAATTCTCGTATGTTATGGCCTACTCGTATATGTTCTCAGAACACTGCGTATGTTAAACTCGTAAACACGTTTCTGTCAGCGCGGTCTATGAGAAAAGTTAATGTTAAAACTATGACGTCAAGACAAATTTTTGTTTCAACCAACGGGCCCTGCATATGGGCCTACGCTCGCGGGACTGTGAACCGTACGTAGCATGCACCAGCCGATCGCAGCCACAGGGGAGGGGCCTCTCTTATTCAGGGCGTGCGTGGGTGTACTTGTGTGTTGCACATGAGCATTTGACCGGCATTTACAGGTAATTATCGGCAATAATATGCGAAATAGAGTAGAGAAACATTAAGACTTTGGTAGTAAATACATTTTGTGTTTATTTACCTTTTTTTTATTGAGACGTTCCAAAGTGCCTGTGATCGCAGCGGGTTCGTATAACTTATACGCGTGTGTAAGCAAACACCGGCGGTCTTGTCCGCTGCGGAATGAAGGCAGCGAAATATGCTGCTAAAACAAGAAAAAATACCGTCAGGTTTTCTCAAAAAATACCCCACGAGACAGCCGTTAAAACTTACTCGCCGTCTCCTAATTACTTCCGCCTCCATAACACTTTCAGAATGGGAGCGCGTGGGCATAACCCGGAACGCTGTGCTGTATTTGCACAACAACCTAAATCTGCATCACAACTCAACGCCCCGTCTCCAAAATTATACATTCGTTATTTATCGGCATGGTACCACCCAAGCCCCCCCCCCTACCCGACGCACACTTACGCCGGACCACCAACGAGTTTTGTTTGATATACACCGCTATATTGACACATTGAAAACAGTGAGTGCCTTTCCCATGTCACTTCCATTCTGCAGCCAGAGTAAACTGATGTTTTTCTGTCTACTATTCGGATGATATATGATAATAAAAAAACTTTCCAACTATAGGTCGTTTTGATTGACTACAAAGCGCGGCCATTGTTTTACGTTGGCTCGATGGTATTTCCGTGTATGGATCACGACGAACAAAAATATATCACATATATAGGAACTATAATATATAATGATAATATACACATATTATCAAGAGCTCATATATAGATATCTCTATTATGAGCTCTTGATATTATCAGGAGTAGATAATAAAGACCTATAATAGTCTCTATTATCTACTCCTGATATTATGTGTATCATTCCAGGTACAAAATACAGTCACATGATCTCTCGGCACTATTTTGTTCTCACGCGTATACTAGCGAAAACAGCTAGGCCTACGGTCGTAAAACCCTTCGCCCATTAACACGAGCACATAAAACTACGTTTATGCATATATATAATACATATATATATATAAATATATATACATATATATATAATAATATATTTATTTATTTATTTATTTATTTATACGTATACATAATTATACATAAACGCATGTGAACTGTGTTCAGTTTACGTTCTCTTAATACTGTACACGTAAATCGTATCGACAGGTCGTATATTTTGACTCATAAAGATCCATTTGGGTTTACGTCCGACAAAGTCTTTGCGAAAACAAGTTTCACTTGACACATTATTAGGCGTTAATCATAATTGGTGGGAAAGTAAAGATTAATTTGCCCACTAAAGAGAACATGAATCATAGCTGGAAACAAAATTTATTTGCTTTTTTCATTACACGACGTGTGGGCAGTGGTAGTTTTTTTGTAAATAGCTGCAGCCAGGTTAATTGTAAAAGCAATGGAAGTTAAATTGCAGTGCAATCATGCCGGAAATCATGCAACCCCTCAGCAATTCGTATTACTGTAATGTATATATATCACACGCACGCACGTACGCACGCACGCACTCACGCACGCATGCACACACGCACGCACGCACGCACGCACGCACGCACGCACGCACGCACACACACACACACACACACACACACACACACACACACACACACACATATATATATATATATATATATGTAACAATCTACAGAATATAACAGATATATCTCCACATCTATATATACGCGGATGCCCCTCAATCTGTATCGTCTGTCTGCCTGCCTCGCTATTCTGACTCATCTTCTGGTCTCCAGGGAATTTCAGCCATTTTTACCTAGAACAAATTGCGAGCTCGGCTTGCGGGCCGTCTCGTTCGCTCGTATAGCAGAAACGACTGCGTGTTCAGGACTCGTAAACATCGTAGGCTGGCTCGAGTAATGTAAAATATCGACAAAGCGCGCGTGATCGAGAAGGCTCGAACGATTTCTGCGTGACTAGATATATAGTGAATGAAGCCATATAGTGCCTATATAGTGTGGGAATTATCGTGGTAGAATATTGGCGGAGAATAATATATATGGTGTGATTCGTGGCGAGACGGCGGCAGGGCTAATGTCGGAACGATTCGAGTGAGAATTTTACTTGGAAATCTTTGACTTTGGAAAGATGTTTTCAGTTCAATCTCACACACTCGTCTCCCCCTCTCTCTCTCTACCTCTGTTTCCCTTTCTCTCTCTCGCTCTCTCTCTCTCTCACTCTCTCTCCCTCTCTCTCTCCCTCTCTCGCTCCCTCTTTCTCTCTACCTCTCTCTGTCTCACACATACACACACACACACACACACACACACACACACACACACACACACACACACACACACATATCTCTCTCACTCTCTCTCTCTCTCTCTCACGCACTAATATTTCGCGTTCACTCTCCTCTCTCCCTTTGTCTATTTTACCCCATCTTTACTTACGTCTCTCGTCTCTATCTCTTGATCGATCGTGCACAGCCCTACAACCCATGCATTCACTAATCATGCACGCACACACGCACGTATGCACACACGCACGCTCGCCCGCCCGCAGGCATGCACACACGCACGTACGCACACCAATATACCCAATAGCCACTCACGCACACGCATCCATATAGCAATAACAACATTCATACACACACACATGTGCACGCACGCGCGCGCGCGCACGCACGCACGCACATATCCATATATCAATATCCACATCATTCATACACACACACATTCATACATAAATACCAACATCCATACACAATCATCCATATATCTATCAATAGCCACATCTATACACACATATATATATGTCCATACTTCAATACCAAAATCACCCATACGCACACAAATATATCAATTCCAACAAATATATAGAACCCTAGCTCTAGTACTATAGCCCGCGTACATTGACTGCCGCAGGCCTGCGGCAGTCAATGTACGCGGGCTATAATAGTACTAGAGCTAATAGAACCCTAGCTCTAGTACTGTAGCCCGCGTTCAGTTACTGAACGCGGGCTATAGTACTAGAGCTATATAGAACCATATAGAACCATATAGCTATATAGAACTATATAGAGCTATATAGAGCTATATAGAATAGAGCTATATATATAATTATAGAGCTATATAGAACCTTCTTCATATGCTCTTGATAGAACCCATATACCATATGCGATGCAAATTAATCCACGTACCACTACTACCTCCATCACTGTGCCCACGGTGCCGTGTTTACATCACACGTATGGCTACTGTATAATATATATATATATATATATATATATATATACATATACATATATACATATATATATATATATACATATATTATACCGTTCAAGACACTTACGTTACGCTGTGTCACGGCTGGCGTCTTAGAACTTTCTCGCTCTCTCTCTCTCTCTTTCTCTCTCTCTCTATCGTGTCACGTACGGCCGCTCGCTCGCTCTCGTCTGGCGGCGTGTACGCGGGAGCAGCTCCGCGTGTTACGGCCCTGTGTGTGTGAATGTGAATGATCGCGTAACTAGGGATCCGGGTTATCGAGCTCTCCTAACCTCACCAACACCCCGCCGCCGCTACTGCATCAACCAACAACTGTAATAGCCGCAGTGGCAGCAGATGTGCGCTGCTGCTGCTGTTGGTGTTGTACGTGCTGCGGGTCGAAATGCATGATGCTGTTTTACTACGTATAGCTGCGGCTGTAGGTTCGCGCGTGTGTGTGCGCGCTACAGTGTGATCACGCAGCTCGCTATATAAACCGCATATATAGGTTGGCATGCTTGCTGCGGTGTGTGTGTGCGTGGGTGAGGGAGTAGGTGGTGGTGGGGGTGGGCGGGGTCGAGTTTAAGGCGCTAGTTGTAAATTTAATGGAATAATTGTGCATAATCGTTTATACTCAGCTATATCTGCTATATGTGCCTGTTATATTTGTTATATATATTAGTTAGTTATATCAAGAGTGGACCAAACCACTCTTTTATCCACTCTTGGTTATATATAGGTTGTCATGCCTCAGTATTAGGGATCTGGGGATTTTTTATGGTAAGTTTTTAAAAACTACGTACGGCATCGTATTGCTACAGATAACTCATGAAAAATGGATTGGAATAATATATCGGGGTCTGCATAATTTATAACCGCGCGTATTTCCACGCTTTTACACGGTGTCATATATGACACTGACTCGTGGCGAATACATTAAACGTAGCCTAGTTGAAAAATTTGAACGATTATAAAGTCAGTGTATACTTTAATTACTGCAGCAATATATTAATAGATATCTTCACGATATGTATCACTTAATAAATTTGCATAAAAAATATTGTTGCACATTTCTTCCGCTAGATGGCAGCATTAGCCATCAACTTTCAAAATGGTTGCAATGGATCTAGATAGGTGGATAGAAATTGCAAAAGGATGCAAATATCTTCCAGAAAATGATTTAAAGGTATAATGCAAGTTATGAATAACTTTATTTTAATAATAAACTGTATTTATTTTATAGAATGGCATAACAATAAACAACGTCATTAGTTATACGCAAGAGACCAACTATTTCAATATTTTGAATTTGAGTGTTCAGTGTTTATTTTGCCCCAAGCCTAGTTTAGCACGTAGCTAAGTTATGATATTATTATTAGCCAGATGAGGTTAGCACAACTGCGAAAACGCACTGCGGAGTCCAAAACTATCCTTGATCCTTTATTTCAAGATTCCCGTACTGATACTATATCAAACAACTTCCTTTTGATTGGAAAAATGCTCTTATAACCTCAGTTTATATTACGCAGAGGCTACGGGCACGGCAGCGGTTCAAGGATAGAGAACATGGGTCCCAATAAAACTAATGTCATTTACATCAATATAAATATAATATTATATCAATATAATAGGTTAAGGTTATTGTTAGGATTAGGGTTAGGGATAGGCACATTGGTTTCATTGGGACCCATGTTCTCTATCCTTAGGGCACGGCAGCCGTATCTTAATGTCTCGAGGCTTCAGTTACGCCAGTCATACTATGCATGCGCTGCAGCCGTATCTTAATGTCTCGAGGCTACGGGTACGGCAGTCCCACACATAAGTACAAACAGTCGCCCTATCCCTAACCCTAACCCAACCCTAACCCTAACACTAACTATAAACCGACTCGGCTATTTTATATACGCGTGTCATAGTACCAAATTAATCTATGGTGTATAACCTTTGGCTTTCAATATTTTGCATCTGAACTGACAATTAATCCCAACCAACTGGTGTAGGCTAGCTGGCACAATAATGTTTATTTTTATACTTTAAATCTGAGTGTTTTCTAGCTCATCAAGAAATCTTAATTGTGAATTATATCGTGAATTAATTTTCAACGGCATTATTTTGTGGGAAAGCGACGCATGCGCAAATGGACTGCCGTACCCGTAGCCTCGAAACATTAAGATACGGTAGCCGAACCTCCAGCCACTGCGTTTATATTAAGGGCGTGGCTACGCTACCGGTTCCGGACGAGGAGCCGCTAGGCTACGCGTTCGGACATCCATCTCACACAGTGAGCTTGCGACACGTACACGCATGATTGCGCAATGGGATCGGCGCTCTGCTGTTTGCCGTGTGTGTGTGTGAGAGAGAGAGAGAGGGAATGTGTATGTGTGCATGTGTGTATGCGTGAGAGAGAGAGAGAGCGTCTGCGAGGTGTGTGTGAGAGAGAGCGAGAGAGAGCTGTGTGTGTGTGTGAGAGAGAGTGAGAGAGGACGGATGAAAAGAAAGAATAGACGCCAGCAGAGCGTCCCATTGCGCAATCATGCGTGTACGCGAGTCGCTCGATCACTGTGTGAGTGGATGTCCGGATGCGTAGCCACTGCGTTTCTATTAAAGGTGGTGGATCTTCCCTTGCTTCAAATTATCGCCCAAAATCTTTGACTTCTCTTTGCTTTAAGGCATTTGAGCATATATAGTCTACTCCTCTGTTATGAACCATTTCGATAGGCATGATATTCTGTCCCATCATCAACATGGGTTTCGGCATGGGTTTTCTACCGTTACCCAGTTAATCAATGTTCTTCATGATTGGACATTAGGTCTTGACAAATCTCAACAGGTTGATGCAGTATTTCTAGATTTCAGTAAGGCCTTTGAATTTGATAGGGTTCCTCATGACCTTTTAATTTTCAAACTTGGTCACTTGGGTTTGGATACTGCTACGTTAAACTGGATCTCTGACTTTTTGAAGGATAGACCTCAAATTGTCTGTGTTAACGGCAGCATGTCAGATGTGGCTGCTGTCACATCGGGTATACCCCAAGGTTCTGTGCTTGGTCCATTGCTGTTCTTATCCTTTATAAATGATTTGTTGGCTGAAACTGACCCTTCTACTTCTATTTGCTTCTTGCTGATGACGCTGTTCTGTACCGCACCATCTACAATAAGGGTGATCAGTTAGCCCTCCAGAGTGTCCTTCCTCATACTGATAAGTGGGCAACAACATAGGGTATGTCATTCAATGCAGAAAAATGTAAAATTCTTTGCATTACTCGCTCCAAATCACCCTTGACTTTTACTTACTCGCCAGCAAAAAAAATACACGGGAGCGGCGAGCGATTTCGCTCCCGTCAGCTTTCAAAGCGCTCTGGTAACAACGAGAGCGAAAGTTTTGGAAGATACATGAAAAAATCGCTCCCGCGCCGCCGGCCAGCGTTCGAAATTCGTTCTGACCCGGTGGCCCACCAAGGTTTTGCTCGGGCCACCATCTCTACGAAACTGCCGGTCCTTCTGACCGGCACTTTTTCCCCTCATATTACGCTGAAATACTACGGTTATCGGAACGGTAGTTTAGACAAACTTGTAAACGGGAGCGCGTAATACGACCCGTTCCTCAACGTAGACGGGGTTTCCAAAACATCTAGAGCTGCATGAACTCCCTCAACGCATGATTCGCCACACGAACAAAAACTCGCGACAGTCTAAGAAATCGATTGCGTCATCGCCCGAGCACTGTAGGGCAGCGCCAGTGTTTTTATGCATTGCAGTAACAATAGAGGTTTTTATATCCGCAGCGGTGGCTCCTGGTGGGGAGTGAGGGCGTACTTATCAGTGACACCTGACACGCCACCGTAATCGAAGCTGTTAAACTGAATTCGTCAACCTTTCTCAACGTAGAAGTTAGACTGTTTTTTTTATCAGTTAGATATCTAGAAGCGAATGGTGAACTGTATATACTTAAAGATTCTAGGTCACTTGCTCAACTTTGGCGGAATGTGCGGCAAGCATTGACTACGATCTATGCATCGGGCTAACCGTGGCACTGCGGGAGGCAGAATAAACGAAACGTAAAAACCTACCCGCAGCAAGCTTCCCCCGCAACATTCCTAGCAGATTGATAACATTAATTTTGACGCAACTTCTAATTAAGTTAGCATGTATGCTGTTAACTGGCCAATCGGTTATCTTTAATACTATCCTATTTTGTTACTCACCTGCTAGTAAGATAAGCGGACCCACCAAATGTTTTGTGGCAGGTCTACCAAACTTTTCTGAACTTGGTCGTCTGCTGTCCACTAGATTTCTTGCAGCCGAAAATTCGAAAACCTGCGGTGCCTGGTGCTCGTACAACCCGCTTGTCCGATGGCCCGGGGCACCCACAAATTCGCCCCCTCCACTTCAAGTAGCTTGAAATTGCCATTCTTGCCGTGTTTCGGGCAAGACAAAGTTTTCTTTTATTGAATGGCTAGACATAATGCAGATTTTTTCTGTTTTCCACCCGTCCTTGCATGTTTTGCACAGACATAAGCTGCCTTGCTGCGACGAGATTTGAATGAAAACAATAATGCAAATGAGACAATCAGTGCGCGCAGTCATACTTTGTACACAACATGCATACAGCAACATGTAAACCCGGCCTCCGTGATTTTGTCACCATTATGAATGATTGTTGACCTCGTCGATTTCGCCAAAGCGTAATCTTGACTTTCGTTTGGGGAAACACCTTTACGATAATTAGACACAATTAATTTCTGGCTTCTGAGAAATTATTAGAGTCAGTGCATCAAAATGATGAAAATTTTAACAAAATCATGCTATGAAAAAGTAGCTCTGGCCAAGCCTAAAATAGCTCCCGTAAAAAAAATTACGAGAGCTCTTTTTTTCATACAAAATCAAAAAAGAGCTTTCGTAAAAAAAAAAGTAATTTTTAGGCTGTTACTCGCTGTATCATAAATATCTATCTCTTACCCCTACTTACAAATATTTGGGTGTTATTATTAGTAACGATCTTTGCTGGAATGCCCACGTTGATTATATTTGTAAGAAAGCGTCCTGATCCTTCGGCATGTTACGGCGTAATCTTAGCTTTGCCGACTCTAAAACTCGGTCCCTAGCTTTTAAAACTATGGTTCTGCCCATATTAGAATATGCTTCACCAGGCTGGTGCCCCTATAGACTTCAGAACTGCTCTAAATTGGATACCATTCAGCATAAAGCTGCAAGATGGGTATCCAGAAACTATGATGATAGTGTTGATGTTGTTTTGGCTCGTCTTGATTGGCATCCTCTTCGTGTCCGCTTTCTTCATTCTAAACTCATAACTTTCTATAAAATTTATCATGGTGAGATGAAAATTGGCATTCCCTTTTGCTTTTAATGAAGCCTGTTTGCTGCACTCGCTCATCTGAGAGTGATCACTGTTTTCGGCACGTACAAACCTTATGAGGTGAGAGGTGAGGTTAAACAACCGATAAGTACACTAGTTGATTTAGCGAGTAATTTGACAAGTACAAGGCAAGATACATGATATTTGTATAGTAACACCCATTGTTATGATATAACTCTTGTTACACAATAAATCGCTCTTACGAAAATTTACAAGGGAATGAACTGGGTTTCCTACCGAAAAACCTAGTGTGCTCTATAGGGCATGGTACACACGCAGCCAGATGTAAACGTGTCAAGGAGGTCAGCTTGTGTGTGTGCCACGCGTAGGTTAGACAGCTATCTCATCCTGTTAGAGGAAACGCCTAGCTGTTCCACGTGTATGGAGTGTTCGTGTTCCTTCAATCGGTGTCCTCCGTCCAGTCTACTCCACATCCAGGCCACTAACACTTTTTCTGAACACCCTTTTCTGTGCTATGCCAGGAAATAATCGGTGAATGCAGGGTGCAAAATTAACGCGAGTCCGGAGTCGAATACTCCCTGATTTACTGTCGGACTCTCAGATTTGACATATATGCAGGAGTTCATGTGACTCCCTGAAAATTCTGCTATACTAACTAGTTTGTTCCAGAGCACTGCCTCCTTATTATTTCCACGCGAAATTACCGTATTTTTTCAGCAAATGTCCAAAGAAATTTTGGCAGACGTGCAACCGCATGAATCTTCAAAATAAGCACATGCGTTATTATATCTTTAGTTTTGAACTTCAGACTGCAGACTTCCTCATTTTGCTGCGACTCCCTATTTTTGAGGGCAGGGAGTCCGTTGGAATCCCTTGTTCAAAAGTTAATTTCTACCCCTGGAATGTGTTTGCTAATGTAAACTTGCATTCATAATTTTGCTTGTATTGGCAGTGATGGTGGGAAGAATGTGGGATTCTCTATTTCTTGTGGTCCGAAACCTTTTCATAGGAATGCATATATATATCGGTTTATGTATGGAAGTTGATGGGAAAACAAGATTTACGTTATGACATCTCGCGTTTGTTAAGAATGCTTTTTCTTGAAAACATTTCGTAGTGGGGGTATCAATGTAGATAAATTGCTTAGTGTTTTTCGTGACTGTTTCAGAAATTATGTGACTATGTATGCGACTTGTTATTGGAAGAATCGAACGTTCAGCCCGTATCAACACCCGTAACTGTCTGTGGTGACATACATGGGCAGGTATGTGTCATATATCTATCATACGTCGTATAAATTGTATACTACTCTGATTAGTTAATTATTTCATTTTGATCTTGTACGTAATTCTAAAAGTTCTTCTAGAAAATGCATATGTATATATATATATATATATATATATATATATATATATATATTAATATATACTATTTGTAAATGTTATTTAAGAAACCCTGGTGCAATTAGTTCTTGATTTAAACCTAAAATGTAATGTTATTTGGCGCTGTTTTACAGTATGTCATGCATTTCATAAATGTAGGCATATATGATATAGCATAATCAATATCATAAGCGAGAATGTTAACACCTTTAAACACTTATATCGTCATTTTTGCAGTTTTACGATCTTGAGCAATTGTTCCGCACGGGAGGACAAATCCCCGATACCAATTATGTCTTCCTGGTACGTAGCATGAATTCATGTGGGAATTTATGTATATATGACTGAGCTACTAAGGTGTCGGGTCTAACAACGGTTACCTACACAATCAATTACTTATAAAACTCAATTCTTAAGATTACTTCATGCTCACATAGATCGTTAAGTGTACGTAATTTGCTCAACTTTAGAGAGTAAATAATATTATATTACGTTATATTTCAGGGCGACTTTGTAGATAGAGGGTACTACAGCTTAGAAACTTTAACACGGCTACTAACGTTAAAAGCAAAGTAAGTATTCACTTGTGACCGTTAGTGTAGTGTTCAGTAATGGTTAATACCAGCCAGTAGAGGGCAGTAAAACAAACACATGAGGGCAGAATTTTCTGTAAGAGGAGTAACTGTTTCTGGGGTCAGAATATTCAATATTGAATCTCAGTTGAATTTTCATTTTTCTGAGTGCTCAACTGATTGGATTTCTTCAGGTTATTTTAGACCGGTAACATCTCATTGGTGACTTTAAGATCTTGATGTTACGGTATCTGGCACTTTGATATTTACTAATTGATAAAGACTTTCATTACTTAATACATGCAGAAAGAACTTTAAAAAAATATTAATTAGTTACACATATAAATGTTAAATATATATAGCGTTCAGTGTCACCATTATCTCGGGGCTCCTGGTAGACATACCGTTGTGGTCTGTACTAGTACTTCTAAGAAAAACGTTTGATTCCACAGGTGGCCGGATCGCTTGACCTTGCTAAGAGGTAACCACGAGAGCAGACAGATTACGCAAGTCTACGGCTTTTATGGTAAGCACTTACATAATTAAAAACGTTTGTTACTTCGAAAAACGTGTGGGCATCGTGTGGATTTCACTTTTCCTTGCAATCAGCGTCAATACTGCTGGAAACGAGTGTGTAAATTTGAACTCATTGATTTTAAATGTAAGGGGGACCCTGCTGAGCTGTGGTGTCAAATGCCTCTCCCACGTATCTTGAGTGTAGAGTAGCTCTATCATACAGGGAAGCCCTTGAGATTGATAACAATCGATATTAAATGCGTAGGTTATAGCGTACCACTTCCGCGTGTTTCAGACGAGTGTCAGAGTAAGTACGGCAATGCGAACGCGTGGAGATACTGCTGCCGGGTGTTCGATCTGCTCACAGTCGCAGCCGTAAGTTGGTAGCGACGTATAGATTTTTTCACCACGGCAATGAACTCCCTACTCTGCTGTGGTTGCCACAGGCTTAACGCGGGTCCCATCGCATGTGTCGCTGGCCCTTAGATTAAGGTTCGATCGGAGTTGAGTTGGTATGGATGGAGGCCTCATCCCGATTGTTGCTGTTTCTGTGATGAAGGGAGAGGATCGTTCATAATTGGCAGATTACCAAATAATATCTAATGCTTCTTATTGTGAGGCAGCTTTTTATGTAAGGAAACATGATCATTATTTGCTGAACGCATGTCCATGTAAAGGATGCGATTACAACCAGTTCAAGTACAATTTATGTGAATGATAGAGTAGCAACACTTTTCACGTTGGGATATTATTCAGCTGTTGTTGTCTTTAACATGCGTTTCATATTAGAATTAGACAATGCTGGATTCTCACGTGATCACCACTAGTTTTTAGCTTACCTTGAAATCGTCAAGATGAGTTATTGCCATGGGGTGTTGTCCGTCGTCCGTCCGTCTGTCCGTCCGTCCGTCCGTCCGTCCGTCCGTCAACATTTGGCTACATTCAACGATAACTCAGGAACCGTTTGACCCACATGTTTCAAATTGCATATATAGTTGTTACTCCTATGGGAGAGGTTTGAACGTCCTATTTTGGAGCACGCCAGTCGACCTACTTTCAAGCCACGTTCACTTTTTCGCAAAAATAGAAATGGCCATAAGTCAGTTCAGGTTCAACGGATTTTGCTCAATTCTGGTATGAGAATGAATAAGGACTGGCACCAAAACATATCACACTTGTTTTTATTATTATTTTTTTAATTTTGCAAATTAGGTAGATTTTGGCAATTTCACTATGCATTTCAGTGTCTGCTTATGGTCAACGCCATCAGATTGTATGCCAACAGATCTGAAACATTTATTTTCGCATAAAAAATTACTCATATATCATCATTATCAAGAGTATATAATGGGAGATATGCTATATAATGGGAGTTCTCCCATATATACTCTTGCTTTATATATCCCCCCTCCTTCTTCTATCACATCCAAGGTGAGCTACAGTGTCATTGACACTTTCATTTGTTTCTGCTTTCAGATCATAGATGAACAGATACTGTGTGTTCATGGTGGCCTCTCCCCAGATTTAAAGACACTCGATCAGATACGTACGATAGAGCGATGCATGGAAATACCACACAAGGGAGCTTTCTGTGATATCCTTATCATGTTACTAATCGCTTAAATAAAGATCTTAGTTGTAAACTTTTTTCCTCTACAGTCTGCAGTAGGTTGTTCATCTCACATGACTGAAAACATAGCCTCAACTTCTTGCACTATAAGTCCACCTTGCCAACTGAAATGATTAAATTCAGTAATTACGCCTAGTTTTATTTTAAAAACATTGCCAGTTGCATCATAAGGATCCTTCCAAGAGCTTTCGTGTTGTTGTCAATGTGAAATAAGCAATTAATAGCTCAAATAAGCAGTCTTAGCCTAAATAGTTCGCCATGCTTGTGTAAGTTAGTGCTAACCTGCAAAGATAAAAAATTATTTAATTCTCGCAGCAGTTCAAACTCAGCCACGCAAATGTGATATTGTAACCGTTGCATCGCACCGCTTTCCCCGAACGTGGCGTGCGTGTTAAAGCCGGCGTCCCGCAATCGCGTGTTGAGGCTGCACTGTAAAGCCGGCGCCTCACTCAGGCTAGAATTGACCTTGACTCCCGTGTCTCACATCTTGTCTGGTCGGACCCGGAGGATGTGGAGACGTGGTCGATATCGCCGCGCGGTGCGGGCTGGCTGTTCGGGGCGAGGGTCACGCAGCAGTTTGTCGACACCAACAACCTCAAGCTGATCTGTCGCGCTCACCAGCTGGTGCACGAAGGTAGGATGCGGTGTGTCTGTGTGCGCGTGTCACCAACCTCTGGTTTTCCTTCTTCTCTCTTCTTTTCTTCTCTCCCTATCCAATCTCTCTCCCTCTTTCTTGACCCTCGATCTCCCCCTCTCCCTCTGTCTGTCTGTGTCTCTCTTTCACTCTCTTGCCCTATGCCTTTCTCCCTTCTCTCCCTATCTCCATCTCTGCTCCAACCCTCATTCTTCTGTTCCCTCTCCCTCTCTCTCTCCATCTCCTCACTCTATCCCCCTCTCTCCCCTCTCCCCCTCACTTTCTCTCTATAACTTATGATTACACATCACCCTTCACCCCCTAGTGATGTGTCTGTGCACGCGTGGCGCCACCCGGTGGACTGTTTGTCTGTCGTTGGTGCCTACTTGTTTGTCTGTGTGGCGGCTTGTTTGTTTGTTGTCTATGTATCAGTGTTTATGTTTGTGATTGGCTCTTGCGTTATCTGTCTCTCTCTCTCTCTTTCTCTCTCTCTCTCTCTCTCTTTCTTCCTCTCGCTCTCTCCCCTCTGTGTTTCCTCGGTTTTTCCTACGTATCTTCTTCTCTCCTTGTCGTTTTTCTTTTTTCTTTCTTGACCCTCTCCCCCTCACACACCTTATTCTCTCTCTCCCTCTCTCTTTCCCCTATGCGTTTTCCCCCTTCTCCCCCATCTCTCTTCTCTCTCCACCTCGCTCTCTCATTCTTTCACTTTCACCTATAAGTGCACGTCAACCCACCACTACCTTTCACACCATCTCACCCCACCCCACCCCATAAACACCCCATCCAATACCAACAACACCACACCACCCACACCCGACACACACCACCCCACCCACCACCGCCAGCATTCACTCCATCTCTGTTCCGCAGGCTACAAGTTCATGTTCGACGATAAGCTGGTGACCGTCTGGTCGGCGCCCAACTACTGCTACCGCTGCGGCAACGTCGCCTCGATCCTCGCGTTCGCCGACGCCGACACCAAGGAGCCGAAGCTGTTCCAGGCGGTGCCGGACGATGAACGCGTGATGCCGTTGCGAGTCACCACGCCATACTTCCTCTAGACCGGCGCCGCTCCAAGGTGGGGTGGAGGTTGTTGTATGTTGCCGGCCGATCGGGGCCGGTCTAACTCTGATCACGAGTCACCACACCATACTTCCTCTGTTGCCGTTCTGACGAGGGTGGCTGCTGTTGGGCGTACACCCTGTAGATCGGCGCTGCTCTGGCTACGGTCGCCGTGTCACCACGCCCTAATTCTTGTAGACAGATGCTAGGGTAACTAGGGTCGCACGGCATTACTCTTAAGGAGGCTTGGGTGTCAACACGCCATACTTCCTGTAGACCGATGCTAGGATTACTAGAGTTGCACGCCGTCACTCTTAAGGAGGGTTGGGCATCGTCACGCCCTACTTTCTCTAGACCAGTATCGCTCTAACGAGGGTGATTCCTTCGCTCGACGACGCGCCGTACTTTATATAGACCGGTGCCGGGTTCCTTGTAGTCCGGCACCACTCCCAATCGACAAGGATGTCAGTCAGCATCCCCCCCTCACGATTGTTATAGATGAGGGTCATACTCGTTCACTTGTCGTCGATGGGCGTGACGTGATTTGTTTTAAGTGAGCTTCGTTCCCTTACCCTGTGAAGACCTGTCTCAGTCCAACTAGTCTAGCAACGTCACAGAGATATGCGTTAGTCCCTACGTGACATCACAGAGGCTTGCCTCAGTCCCTCCGTGACATCACAGAGATGCGTGAGTCCCTCCGTGATATTACAGAGATGCCTCAGTCCGGCTACAACATTGCAGAGATGCCTTAGTTCTCCCATTACATCACAGATACATCTCAATCTCTGTGTGACATAACAGACACATGCCTCGGTCCCGCTACAACATCGCAGAGATGCCTTAGTTCTCCTATTACACCACAGATACATCTCAATCTCTCTGTGACATAACAGACACATGCCTCGGTCCCGCTACAACATCGCAGAGACACGCATCAGTTTCTTAGTGACATCACAGAGATGCCTCAGTCTCTCCGTGACACCACAGAGACTCTGTGCTCGTTGCATGTTAACTGCACTTAGTACTCTGTGTTCTGTGGCGGTGCACTGTACTTTTACTGTGCGCTCACTGCTTATAACCTGTACGCAGTACTCTGTGGTGAGGATCTGGATACTGGATCCAGCACTCTATGTTCGGTGCCTGCATGCCTGGGCTACTACGGGCATCTTTCTGAGTTGTCATCATACCATCATGCTTTGGCCTAAGATCAGCATTAAACTATACTGCCTGTACTGGCATGTGATGGCAGCGTATACACTAGGTAAAAATAATGTGTCAATTTGTTTAGTGTATATCGTTGGCTACTGAGACGTGATATGGGGTTTACCCCATGTAAGATCTTTTAGCCTACTAAAATCATGATGTCAGCAAAGTTACAAGAAACAACATAACAGATGTTTTTTTACTTGTAAGAGGTAGGCTAACATATGATACAGCACTGTTCCAACATCGATTTAAAGTAAGGGTAACAGAGCGTGTGGGTGAAATAGTAGTGTAACGACATGCTAGTTGCTGCACACTCACAGGTCGAGACCTTTTGGGTTAAGTTAAGATTGCATTACGACTGTTGCGCCATTATGTACATGTACAAGTGTGTTAACTGACAGTGCAAAACACAGCGGGTGCGGTAAAACGTGTTAAGGGTGCCTTCCCACTTAAATTGTGCTGTCAAACAAAAAATCTGGTGAAATTCAATTATTAAGGGTGTGTTCATACTGTCCAATGCACATATGACGGGTAAACGAAGTTATCAGAATTGAATTTATTCCCAGTTCTTTTCCCAGGAAGTATAACCTACAGGGCTCGAGTTATAAATGGCGTTTTGTATTTACTGCTACTCATTCTTTCTGTAAGGGGTCGGTCAAAACTGTTAAGTTGTCCGTGTAGATTTAATAGGCTTATTGCCGTTACGCGACATTCACTTTCTAAATTAATTATTTTTATAGACTTTACCATGTTTACTGTGATTTGTGACAAATTAGTTGCATTAGTTATCTGGGAAGGCATCACTAACTTGCATTGTTAGTTACGTGCTATCGTCTGTTCTCTGTATGCGTGTGATTTTAGATTTGTATAAAAATAAGTAGAATTGAATAAATTGTACAGAAATAGATAAATACTTCAAATTTTCTGTGTTATTGTATATAAATATATCTCTCTCATCCTTCCTCCCTCCCTCTCTCTCTCTCTCTCTCTCTCTCTCTCTCTCTCTATATATATATATATATATATATATATATATATGGGATGCCTTTTTGTTTAGTAGTCAAGAGGTTCAAGGCTAGCAGTTTCTATATTTCTGAAAAACACGATACACCGAGTGATTGTAAGAGACTGAAGCTCTGGCGTAGTTAGAGTGTAGCGCTGGTATGCTTATCTAATTTTCACCAGATTGAATTAATAACAATAAAAGTTGGTCAAGCCAGATTTCCCTCACTATATTCATATGTCTGTATCGATTATATTATTTATCGATATTTACGTACACTTCAAACACTAATGTAAAGTTTGTAAGCAGCAGTAATTTATTGCACATCAAATCTACACGGGTGAGAATGATCAATATATCAGACAAAAGCAACAGTTATTGTTAATCATGAATAAATGCTCGATCATTACATTTTCCTAGGAATTATTCGTCAGAATGTAAAGTGTTTGGTTATTACAGACTATCAAAATTCGGATAAAACCCCCTATCGTTGTACAAAGTAGCGATGAAGAGGTGACATTACCACCCTTTATTTCTACCACTGCTTGTTTCTCCTTTAGTAACCAAAGGATTTTCAATACGTCCCAAACCACCCGAGCTGCAACACAAACAATCACAGGATGTGAAAATGGCAAGGGCCCGTTGAAAATTACCGTGTTCGTCTTTATCCTTCATCTCTTAGTGACAAATAGTCGGCAAGACAGTATGCGAGATGTCATGCTCTCTACAACTTTGCGTAATTTAAATAATGTACATATATATTCATGACAAGATATTTTCTAACCCCATAATTACCATGCAGTTTCTGTATAAAAAAATACATGTCTCTATTCGTGTGTAAAAGTAAATTAAATGCACAAGTATATATATACATAAATAACAACTATATCTCAAACATTTTCGATACCTTTTCTTTTCGAACTACATGTATAAAATAAATCTCTATGAATGAAACATTTGGCATGGACTCTCAGGCCATCCTTAAAAAATTATATGTTTGCTGTCCTACGACCGACCCACGAAGCTAGCCGCAACGCAAAAGTTTTTTTTGACATTTGGGTTCCATATTTTTTTTTACAATTTTCATAGTTAAGACTGAAACACAAAGCATGTGTGGCAAACATGAGGACAGACTTAAAATAACTATTATGCCTCGAAAAAAAAAGATACCTACCTACCCACTAAAAAAATCATGGGTCGGGGGACAGCAAACATAGAATTTTTTAAGGATGGCCTCAGCAACACAACAGCTAACAAATTAGCAGCGCTATTTGAATATGAATGCGATAGATGCTGGCAATTACTAAAAGCTAGCAAGGTAAACATGTTAGTGAACACCATGTTATACTATCAGTAACCCAGCTCTGTCATAAAAACAAAATTAATATATTTTAGTAGATACAATACTAGATTATTACAAAATTCTGAAGATAACATAATTAAGGAAACAGCTGAGCAACAAACCCAAACTTGCATAGTAAGCTAAGAATCTAGGTTGAACCTGCGGCATCAAATCGGGAAGAGGAGATTAGAAAATCGGGACCTTTGATACAAATCACCTCAGCACCTAGGTCCACTATTTAAACAAGAGCCGCAGAGCGTCTGGGCTCATCTGGGGTCTGTTGCCAAGGTTATGAACGTACAATTTCAGTCGTGCGTAGTGACACATTTATTAGGCGCAGATATGCAGATACGCAGTTGCGTACACATCATTGTTAGGGCACGCTCACTATCTCCCCCCATGCGATTTTGGTTTATTTTATTAAATGATACTTGCCTTTCACTTAGAATTTGTGTCATAGATTCACAGCTATCTATTTTTATCTATCTATAAAAGATTTCAACATATGAGCATGGATCTCCAAGTTTAATTAGAGGGGGCGGGGAGTCCTTCTCTCCCACCTCCCTCCCCACTGCGTCCCACCTCCCTCCCCCTGCCTCCCACTTCACTCCTCTTGCCTCTCACTTCCCCCCTTACCTCCCATCTCCCTCCCCCTACCTTCGACCTCCCTC